CCCTCCTCCCAGCGCGACAGATCCTCACCTCCTGACAGTCGCGCCTTCCCGCCTGATACCACCATCGCATCTTCTGCAGTGGTTCTCCCCGGCTGACGACTTTGCCTTCCCTTTGAGCGTCGCCGTCCCCCCTTCACCACACCCCACGGCGGGCGACCATCCGCGCCTGACAGCCGTCGGCTGTCAGGCCCCGTCAGCTCGCCGGCCGTGACAGGTGCTGTGTAGCGCGGCTGACGGCTGTCCACGGTCGACGAGGCCGAGCGCTCCGCCCAGGGTCACGGTGCCGGCCGACACGGCAGCTGCGCCGCCAAACACGCCCGCCGCTCCCAGCCGGCCCGGCCCCGCACCGGCGGCGCCCGGCCGACTGACTGAGACAGACTGGCCGCAGCTCGCCTGAGGCTGCGGGTCAGACGGCAGACGGACTGCCTTGGCTCCCTCGGAGGGCTGGGCCAGGGGAAAGTCAGCAGCGCTCAGACAGACCGACTGCTGGGAGTGTGCCCGGCAACCCATTCCCCTAAATGCTTCGTGTGATCGACGTCATCGCTGGTGGCTGGCTACGTCAGCGGTCAGGCTAGGGATGTGAAATGCGCACTCCTTCTGTATAAAGGCGACGTATCCGAACCCTGCTCGGCTTTCCGTCATCTGAGCTCCGGTCGCCTTCGGTATATTCATGAACACATTTGTGTCGCCGGTTTCTCAGGTTTGTAGATTGTGGCGCCTGACGGGCAATGCCGAATTTGGACCGCTCCCGTCCGGTTTTCACACTTGCCGCACAAGCAGTCTGCCCCGCACGTTTTCAACACGCACAAACTCACCCCGCCACCTGCACCGTACCACGACCTGGCACCTCCCCGACGCGAGGGGTCGTGTCCGACCGGCTCAAGCGGACGGCCCCATCGTCCCGGCCCGGCGGCGGCGAAGGACGACCGCCCGTGTCCGGGGGCGAACGGTGAGGCGGCACCGCTGGAGCCGCGCCCAACGCCGCAGTCCGCGGATGCCCTCCGTCGATCCATTTCCGTCTGGCGCGCTCGGCGACCCTGACCCGTCACTGTTTGATCTAGCCGCTCCGCTGTTGTCGCCGACAACACCGCCCGACCTCAGGGTGTCGCTATTGCCTCCGAGTGTCATCCGAGCCTCGGCCAGCGGGTGGGGTCGGAGCACAGAATGGGCTGTGGCCGCGGTAGAGGGGGGGGGGGGGCACAGGATCGTCCGGGTCCGCGGTACGAGGCACAGGATGGTCCGGGTCCGCGGTACGAGGCACAGGATGGTCCGGGTCCGCGGTACGAGGCACAGGATGGTCCGGGTCCGCGGTACGAGACGCAGGATGGTCCGGGTCCGCGGTACGAGACACAGGATGGTCCGGGTCCGCGGTACGAGACACAGGATGGTCCGGGTCCGCGGTACGAGACACAGGATGGTCCGGGTCCACGGTACGAGGCACAGGATGGTCCGGGTCCACGGTACAAGGTACAGGACCGTCTGATTCCGCAGTACAAGGCACAGGATGGTCCGGGCCTGCGGCACGAGGCATATGATGGTCCGGGTCCGGTACAGGGGTCCGGGTCCGGTACAGGGCACAGGATGGTCCTGGTCCGTGGTATGGCCTCGAGTTGGGTCGACGGACTGGGTGCGTTTGTTACCTGTTAGCTTTAGTTACTTGCGAATTGATGGCTTGGACCATTAGACGCTGGGATGTGCGAACGGTATGCACGTAGCAGTAAACATAGATACGGACACGATGGCAACATCTGTTTCTCATCGTCGTCTCATTATCTGTATTTGCTTCTACACACTGGTCAGACCTACATGTTAGGATCTAATGACCATCACTGACGCGTCGCACATACAGCCTGCTCCACATCTACAGGCGACTTGGAGTTTAAGTTTGAGAGAGCATTGACACCTTTGTGGGTCTTTCTCGGCCGTCGTACCGGTGAAATACTGGATCATGGCCACGGCAGGCCACACACGAGGTCTGTTTTGCTTCTCGAATAGGCAGTGCAGTGAGCAGACAACATCCTTTTGTGGCCTCCGACCAGCCCCGTCCATACGCCCTGTCAGTCAGGCGCGTCGCCGTCCCCCCCCCCCCCCCCCAGTGGCACTCGTTCCCGCCGTGCGTACAACACAAACAGAGGGAACCGGAGCGAGAAATAGACGCGCGCAGATTACTCCTGTTCTCTAGCGCGATGCCACCGTCCTCAAAGCGCTGGAGACGCAAACGTGTGCACGGTTGAGCTTCAAAAAGGTAGCCATCCTAGGGCTTCTCAGTCGCTCGTGACCTTTGCAATGTGATGTTATGTAATTTAATTAATACCAACAATGCATATTTTCGCGAATAATTGCTTGCGTCTCACTCCTCTGTTGAGCAACATGTGTACGTACCATTCATGGGTTAAACGCCTCGATTACGTGTAGGTTGAATGCAACGCATTGTTGCGCCAATGAATGCATGACCCTGGACGATTGAGTATGGCGATTTCGTGGTGGGATGCCGGATATTGCATTCACAGATTGACCGGACTGCAGCCTGTGACCGATCGTGACCTTTAAATTGTGCCTGCACTTCTCAGTGTCGATGAGCAGGAGTCGTGCTATAATTATCTGCGTTCAGTTCTGTGTGTTGTTGGATTTATTATTGAGCTTTTTCGCCTCTGCATCTGTCGTTCCGAAACCCAGTTAAATTTTCCCGAAGTGGGTGTTGATAAACACACCTCCAGTGAACCGCGGGCTTCCGTGCACGTCCCTTAGTGTCAAATGTTCCGTTTCTGTAATTAAGCCGCGCTCGGGTGGCATCACGCACGCTCAGCCGCGGCCGGGCAGCATGAACACACAAGCCGAGGACTTGACGTCGGCTGCATTCTGAGTGGACAACTTCGGCCAGACGACACGCTAGGGTCCAGCCAGCTCACAGCGACTCAGGATCAGGCAGGAATATGGGGCACGCAAGGGAAATGAGTACGCAGCTAAGGCAACCGAGAGCAGCAGCAGCTGGCAACCTCCGGCATCGCGCTTTGTGAAGGTTGTTGAGTCGGAAAAGCTGGTATGAGGCCTGTTTGCCATGTATTGACGCCCAGTCCCGACACGTAGTCCCGTGGGTCGTATGTGTTGTGTTGTATGCGCTATTCGATTTCAGAGTGCATCATAACGACACGCCCTAAACGTATTATTCTGCCTGTATAGTTATGGATAGTCAGCGAGATAGAAGTTATTTGTTTCTCACAACTCATAACAATCCCCCGGGCCTTACCCAATCCGCGGCCTTAGAATCATTTCAACCGTCCCAAGCTTATCGTGCCTCTGCACTTTGACTTGATTTCAACTGCGGCGCACTTCAAGCGGACGACTTGAACTGCCTAGTCCCATTGCGGACTATGTCGTACGTGGCGCCAAAGCAGCTGAACGGATTCGTCAGATGGTTTCGTCGTGGTGCGGTGAAAATGCCGCAGGCGATATCGCCAGCCGCCAGCACATTTCGCCGACGCTTTGCTGGGGATTACGGAGCAGTGTCGCGTGCGCCATGGCGACAACTGCGGCGCACATGCCACAACTGTCCTGTGGCGCTCCTCGGCCGCCGCCGGTAAACTTGGAGCACGTCCAGACAGCGTTCCCTCTCTGTCAACAGACGGCCAGTGGTAGCGCAACCTGATACATCACGTAAACACGCCGGGACCCCCGCTCCCGGCCATTGTCAGAACAGGCCGCGAGGACGGCTCTGAGGGCCGCCGACTCCACAGTACCCTGACGTTCTGCCCAGATGTCATCATTCCTGTGCCGTGAGCTCGTGCATGGGGTATTAAGCTTTCAAACGCCGCACTCAAACGATGCACACTTGTGTTCTGGCCGCCAGGCATGAACAGTCCACCCTGTGCATCATGTACTTGTTCCGCCGCTGTAGCATTGCCAACCGCGCGTGTTGCAACCGAAACTGCATGACGATCAGCAGAACGCGCTCCCCAGCCCAGGCAGCTTGGGAACGCTCACAAACGTTCTGCATATATTTGTATTGTTTAAGATCCATTCGCCACGCAACAATTTTTCGGATTATCACCGTTGTTTTGAAACGTGATTGGAGGACGGATCGGGAGAAGTTGTGGGGGAGGATGCTCAGTGAGAACTGGTCGGGAGGAGTCGTGAACGAGAACGCTCGGGAAGAACTGGTCAAGAGGGGGCGTGGAGAGAACGCGCGGGAGGAACTGGTCGGGAGGAGGCGTGGAGGAGAACGCTCGGGAAGAACTGGTCGGGAGGAGGCGTGGAGAGAACGCGCGGGAGGAACTGGTGGGGAGGAGACGTGGAGAAGAACGCTCGAGAAGAACTGGTCGGGAGGAGTCGTGAAGGAGAACGCTCGGAAAGAACTGGTCGGGAGGAGGCGTGGAGGAGAACGCTCGGGAGGAGTCTTGGAGGAGAACGATCGGAAAGAATTGGTCTGGAGGATCGTGGAAGAGGACTGGGCAGGAGGTGTCGTGGAGGGGGACGCTGGGGAAGGACTGGTGGGGAGGAGTTGTGAAAGAGGACGCTCGGAAGTGCTAGGTTGGGAGGACTCGTGGAGGAGGACGTCCGCGGAACATCTTGTGATTTGTGGGATACGACACCTCTCGACTTGTGCACAGCTTAAGCATTCGGTCTGACATGACGCACACTTGTGATTTGAGCTGGAGTCAAACTGGCGCTAAATCGCCTTCTCTGAATGTACTGCGTAACAAACCTACATCGTCACAAGAACACGAGTTTTTTCAGACCAGCTATGAAATTTGACCCGGTCGGCGGGAAGACTCTAAGAGCAACGCATGAACGCTGCACTTGTGTGCCTTACGAGACAATCCACGTTTCTGTCTGTCGCAATGTAATGCGCTCCAAGCGTGCCTACTACAGTCGTCTTGGCCACTATCGTCTGATTGTACACGTGCGCTCGTTCCGTCTACAGGTGCTCCTCTGCCTGCTGGCGTGGAATGTCTGTGACGCACCGCCACGCGCCGATACTAATCTCCGACCATCTGTTGCAGGGGTCTTGAGCTTGTCTCGTGCGTAATCGGTTTCCTGTTCTTCGAGGCACCTGGTCCCTGTTCTCCGGGACAGCCACACAGGGTGCAGGTAAGTCCCGTCCTCCGAATGTGCACGCTGGTCGCGACTGTGCGGTCTACTTTCTGTGATAGCGACCGGCGCAAGGACCGTGTCTAAACCGATGGCGGCGAAAGACGTTGTCTAAGCTTGAGTGTGGTGACCAAAACCCAGGTTCTTCAACCGAGATCCTACTGAGTGCATTGTACGAAGTTCAACAGAACGCTAGTGCGTAATTGTAATGCACGGAAATTTCAGTATGCATGTGTAAGCTGGGTCACCTGCTTCCCTTAATTTGAAAACCTCTGGGGCCTTTGACGAGTGGGACGGCTGTCTGAGGCCTGATTGAGCGCCATATGACCAGCGTAGTCGGTGCGCCCCAAAGCCCAAATCATCATCATCTGGGGCCTGAGCTGAGCGTACATCCGTCTAGTTCCATGGGCCACAGTTAAGCGTCTTCGCGCTAGCGTAGCGGATTACTGTGGGTTCACTGACACCAAATAAGTTTAGGAGTGTCTCCATATATGCCCCATTGTTTTGCCTCTGTGTATTTGACATTACATGCGAACAGTGAAGTGGGAGGCACATCTCTTTTAATCGGTCGGGGTGGGTGCGCACTAAGGGAAAAGAAGCCCCGAAATTCGCGAAATTTTTAAGGTATTGGAGTCCACCGATAATCACTAGTGATTGAAATGCATATAAACTATTTATATAATGATGTCGTGATCGCATGCCTTCCAACGCCGTAATAATTTAGGCAGCCTTGCGATGCATTGGGTCTCCATACAGGGATTTTATTTCCATTCCACACTTTCATATCTATATATATATATATATATATATATATATATATAAATATATACCGAAACCGAATATATATATATATATATATATATATATATATATATATATATATATATATATATATATTCCTTGCATCCATCTATTTAATGCAGATTCCACACAGGTCCGTGTTAAATCTGAGTTGTTCGGAAAAATCGCAGCGTTAGCAGCGAATGGCTGACATGAAGCCAGCATCTGAACTAGTAAATGCTGTAACTTTTCCGTATGTTACAAAAGACGGGCATAGGTGAATAACTTTGATCTTCACGGGATGCGGTAATGATACCGCCTTGAGCCTCGTAATTGATTTGCCTCTTTATTAAACGCTTGTATAACCTCTTTATCAAACGCTTTGTAACACGGTACAACGTTTTATGCGTAAACACTTCAACACGCGCACAAGCCACGTCACTGGTGTGTATACATACGTGTACAGGAAGTTACCGACCGGCGGCGCACCAATGCGTCCAGCGATGTCTGTGTACATGCGTGTGCAGGCAGTTTGCGATCCGCGTCGCACCAATCCGTCGAGCAGTGTCTGTGGCCATGCGTGTGCAGGCAGTTACCGATCCGCGACGCACCAATGCGTCTTCCTCGCCAGGTCGGTAGCGCGCTGGATACCGTTCACTGTGATAAGCTTAGCGCCGGCGCTGGGTCATGGGTGCGTCACGTGGGGCCGGTCACATGGTGTGTGACGTGTTCCCCGACTTCCCACGCGCCGCCGGCGGCCCGGCGCCCGATCAGCCGCCGGCGCCACCCCTATCTAGTGCGATGAATGAGTCATGCGCCGGGCGACGGTGCGGTCACCGGCTGACCGCCTCCGCCGCGGTGGCCCGGCTCCGGCCGCCTGCGTCCGGCGGCGCGCTCCTCTGGCAGCGCGGAGCGGGGGGTGCGCCGGGCGAGGATCCCAGCCGCGGTGCCCGGCCCCGGCCGCCTGCGTCCGGCGGCGCGCTCCTCTGGCAGCGCGGAGCGGGGGTGCGCCGGGCGACGATCCCAGCCGCGCCGCAAAAAGTGCGGCCGCCCCACGCGGCGCGCAGTGTTTACCGTGTGTTTAGCGGGCGCGAGTGGGGAGTCGACCGCCGCGTGCGCTCCGCACCGACCGAAACCAGAGTGGCCACGGCGGAGTGCGCGCTGGAAGGACGTGCGGACACCTTGTGCCGGCCGGTCATCGATGTGGTAGCAGATTCCGGGCCACACTGTAGATCCTGGATGTTTTCACGTTTTTTGCAGTCGGTGTTCGGATCGTTGTCGGTCAGGGGCTGCGGTGATACGGACTTTGTGTGCGTTCCCGGCTGCGTGCGTTTTTTGATGTACGATGTTTGAGCTTGTCCATGCACGGCACATTAGTTTTCGATGCTCGATACGTATACTGAAGTAGATGGCGAAGTCCATGTGGTGACTACAATAGCAGCCGGTGTCGAATCTTCTGGAACGGCCGCAGCCTGGCGTCTCCGCGAGCCCCAGATGCGCCAAGCGGACACGATCTCTGTGGAATGTCTCCGCGGGTGGCGTCTGTTCGTTAAGACAATCAGGCCACTACACGGCTGTCCAGGCATCACTTAGGCCATCGGGGCTAATGAGGCACCAAGATAAAACGCAGTTCAGCCAGAGACAAACCATCCAGTGAGGACGGGACAATGGGGGAGGTGGGGGAGGGGGGGGAGGGGGGAGACGGCAGTCGTAAAGTAATGACCCAAGTTTGGTGTTCGAAAGAATAACATCGCACGTCGCTGGAACAGCCAACGATCTCTGTCGTCATGTTATGCCGGCCAGTGACCGTCCCTTTACCTTCTCCCCCGGCCAGTGACCGTCCCTTTACCTTCTCCCCTGGCCAGTGACCGTCCCTGTACCTTCTCCACCGGCCAGTGACCGTCCCTTTACCTTCTCCCCCGGCCAGTGGCCGCCCCTGTAAGGTAGCCAGCCACCGGCTCTGCCTCTCCGCCGTGGGCCAGTGACTGTCCCTGCAAGGTGGCCCGTCACCGGCACTGCACCCTCCGACGTGGGCCAGCCACCGCCCCTGTAAGGTGGCCAGTCACCGGCACTGCACCCTACGCCGTGGGCCAGCCACCGCCCCTGTAAGATAGCTAGTCACCGGCACTGCACCCTCCGCCGTGGGCCAGCCACCGCCCCTGGAAGATAGCTAGTCACCGGCACTGCACCCTCCGCCGTGGGCCAGCCACCGCCCCTGTAAGATAGCCAGTCACCGGCACTGCACCCTCCGCCGTGAGCCAGCTACCGCCCCTGGCCGTCGGCCTGGTTACTTAGCACGCCCATTAGTCGACCCTCCGGGCAATTACAGATAGGCGGCCGCCTGCAATGTTAGATTGCCGGATTAGCGGACGGTGCTGCGCGGGCCGGAGCGCGGCCGGGAGGCCGGGGGCGGGCTATACGAGAGCTTCCGGCGCCGCTCGGATCGGACGGGTGGCGGCAGCAGCGGCGGCGGCGGGCGAGGGCGGCCGCCGTTGCCGCCGCCGGCAGGCAGCCTCCAGACAAACGGAGGAGAAAACGACACTGACACATGCCGGTGGTGAAAGTATGATATTGGTTGTCATGGGATCGGAAGCTTGGAAAAAATTTGACCAACTGGGGTTTAGTTGCTAACGTTCTGGGTAGGTTGTCAACAGAATGCACGTTTGTGTGAGTGGCTTTCAATTTCTTTTTTCACTTACCACTATTTTCGTTTAACAGATACGCATTGCGTGCAATGCAACCTGATGACATGTGCCGGTTCTTCTGGTCTCTCCTTCATTCCATGCGTATGGGCCATGTATGTTGTTCACGTCCTTACTTATTGCCTTGGAAAAAAACACCGGCGAGCAAAACCTTAAGCATCGGCATATTAACGTGGTGAGGGTTAAGTGGGCCGGGCGTATAAAAACAGTTTTATCGTTAATTTATTTTCCTAGAGAACTTGGCCGTAATTTGAGTATTCGCTGCATATCCGGATCCATTGTCTGTGACGTCATTGATGTTTATCATGTCAAATCCCTCTGCGATGTTTTGTCTGGTACAAATTAAAATAAAGGTGACTCATCAATGGTAAAAGAACATTTGTGCGTTCTGCAAAGAACCTCCCACTCCCCCTCCGCCGTTCGTACCAAACGTCCCATTATGCAAATCGCCACGCCGAATGCATACGAGCGGAAGAGAATATGAATAATGAAACGTGTATGACATCTTAGAATTGAATGTCAACAGCAAAGAAATTAACACGTTTGGTAAAAAAATACACCGGGATGTCGTATATAACACATGAGCATGCCCTTGGTACGTCACCACCGGCGAAGCAATACAGATGGCTATGGCGGATGCGTACCATGGGCAGCGAACATTCTAAAATGATCTCATTATTGCGCTAGAGGATCCCCTGGTTGTGGCGACAAGTCAACAATCACCAGTAATAACATAAGTCTAAAATATAGAAAGTAGGCGGTAAAAGAAACATAATCAAGCGCGTATTTAACAAAATGCATGCATTGTAATATAGAGATTGATTTACAAATAATTTGCCAACATCCTCGTAAATTGCTAAATGTCTGCCAAACCCTGTAGGATCTCGAAAATCTTTGTCGTACAGTGCAGCAGGGAAAGGATTGTATATTTCAGAGAGAGATTTATTTTTTACGGTTCGGCCGAACGCGAAACTGTCGTGCGGAATGCGACCATAGCAGCGACTGAGCGCTTGAAGTCACGGTCAACATACTGGCTACATACTGTGTGGGATCACTGGACTACTCAAGTCTGGTGGATGTAGGATTTAAGGCGCGAATGATATGCCGATAAGTTAAAGCCATGTGTGAGGTGTTTGATAAGTCCGCGAAGCATCATTTTTTTAGATGTAAGCTGAAACACTTGCCGATCGGCCAACCCTTCGCTGTTAGCCGATCGGCTAATTCCCTTGCTGTTCGCCGATCGGCTAGCTCCGCCCTGCTGTCCGTCGATCGGCTAGCTCCACCCTGCTGTTAGCCGATCGGCTAGCTCCACCCTGCTGTTAGCCGATCGGCTAGCCCCACCCAGCTGTTAGCCGATCGGCTAGCTCCACCCTGCTGTGAGCCGATCGACTAGCTCCACCCAGCTGTTAGCCGATCGGCTAGCTCCACCCTGCTCTTAGCCTATCGACTAGCTCCACCCAGCTGTTAGGCGATCGATTAGCTCCACCCAGCTGTTAGCCGATCGGCTAGCTCCACCCA